GTAACTTAGAAGACTGGTTGAATGTGTGATGCATTGATGGTGGAGAGTAGAATGAGGAAAGCGAGATCATAATGCGGTTTGTGCGGATGTTCAAGCATCACTTCTCGTGATAGATATTCGTCGGGAGTGTTCATGATGTTGTCTAGAAGGGGGCTAGATAGCACTCATCCACCGATTTGTCTGTCCGAGCCTTGTTTACTCCACGAAGAAGCTGATTCATTGAGGCTGGAAGCTAATCGCTGCTAACTTGCACCTCAATGGAGAAAGATGCGTTAGATGGTTTCAAAATGTCATGGCATTGGGTCTGGTGTTGCACTATTTAGGAGAATCGTAATTTCTATTTCAACCTTCACGCTTCGCGATGATAAAAATGCAACAAATGAGAAGCCTACGCCATTCAAATTCCGTTGTGCTTGGGTCTGCATATGGCAGTAACTAACACTCGTAGTCATTTGCTCCGATTGGTATCCACCGTGCTAGCTGTCAGTACTTGTAGTAGGTCACTCGAGATGCTGATACACTGGATGCAGTTTTCATGGAAATGTGGGAATCGTTTGTGAGAGCAGTTAACTATTCGAAAGAATCGCCATCCGAACATCCCAACTCTTGCTTTGGTTGCTTGCAAGCATGAGAGCAAGCAAGCAAGCAGACAGAGAGGCAGCAAGATAGGGCTGAGCGGCAATTACACGTCGTGTAGAAAAGAACAAAAAGGAAGAATACAAGTGTGAGAGGTGTGTTGGAATTTGTAGAACGAAGTGCTTAATGCAGCCTGCATGGATCTGCAGTCGTAGGAATGCGTACAAACGGAAGCAGGAATTGGTGCGTTGAGTGGCTTGATGGAATGTAAAGTAAGGTGAAGTCAAAGTGGGATGTAGTGTTGATAGACAAGTCCGTTTTTCCAAAGTACTACAACACATTCTTCTCATCTTGGGGAGTTCGGATACACCAACAGGTGCATTGACGAATGGAAGTGGTTAGGTGGCAATTTGACCGAATGGATGTGAGGTTAGTACATTTACAAGCACCTCACTTATCTCGCTCTCCTAATCTGGATAAACTCTTCCAATAAATACACTTGTTCATATCTTCTCCTTCATCTCTATCACAACCACACACCCGACCACCACCACCACTGCCACCACCGTGAGAGGTAGCAATAAAAGCAATTAATCAGGGTAAATCACGCATGCATCACAATTGTCACTATCTAGCCATGAATTTGTTTGAAGTGGAGCCTCGGAACAGTGTGTCGTGCCCAGTCATGCCACGGGATGCCGCAGTATGCCACGCCATTACATGGGACCACACAATACGTCACGACTTGCAATGCAGGACGAAACGGCAAGTTGCACGCTTGTCTTCATCGTCATTGCCACCGCCACTGTCACCGTCACCACCGCCACCACCACCACCACCAGCACTGTTAACGAGGTCAACTTAGAAGTCGTATTTGTAAAAGGGGGAGAGAAAGCATGTTGGTTGGGGAGTGGAGTGTGGTGATGGGAGGCGAGGTGAGGTGAGAGGAGGTGGGGCGGGGCAAGGTTAGGGCAGACGAGGTAAGGTAAGGTAAGGTGAGGCGAGGCGAGACGGAGAGGGGTGAAAGATCACGAGTGCAAATCACAGATATGTGTGTTGTCTTCGTCCACTCACCAAACATTTCTCATGCCTTCCTCTCTTAGAAGGCGCTTCCGCTACCTCTACATGCAAGCTGTTGACATCTTCACCAACTTTCCCTGAAGCATTTTCTTGTTGTGAAAGTGATTCTTTCCTGTGTGATGCTCAAAGAGACGAAGAGTCCAGAAGAGCGTCAGAGGGAAGTGGGAAGAGGATGCTGATGTGGACTGGAGTGCGATCAGTCAATAGCTTGCTGGTCACTAAAGCACGAGCGTGAGTGTCTCCCCTCCCTTTGATGAACTACTCATTTTAATGCGTTTCAGTAATTTGGTAGGTGAGATGGGAGCACTCATCCTGATCAGATGCCTACTGAGTGTTGGAAAAGCGACGTGCAGATGATTATGCTTGCGTTTGCACCTAATAAGGAAATTGGGTGTGTGAGTGGTTTGGTTACTCTCCTCTTCAGCTTGTGTCAGCTCAGTTACTTGCACGAAATCGGGGAGATCCGTTGATGTATTTCAGTGGATAATGGGCAATCGTCAATGTGATAGGCGATGCTTACGTCCTCTTTAGAGTAGTCGAAACATGCTGTTGCCAGTAATTGTCAGGAGGTAGGAAATGTTAAGTTAGGCTTGAGATATGTGACTGCCTCCACCGAAGCAAATGTTGAGGTCAATGGTTGCAGTACGTGAGATGTGAAGTGTTGAGAGCAAGTGGAGAAGTTGAAAGATGGACAGGAGGCGGATAACGGGTGGACAGGAGGAAGGTGGCAGGAGGGCAGACCCTAAGATGCATCACCCATATCTGTGTTTATTGGAAAAGGAGGCAGCATGAACAGCTTATTATCACATCAGAGAAACAGTGTTGTATTCATGCAGGAGGAGAATGTGTAATGGGAGCGTAGTACAAAATGGGTAGGTAGACAGCCAGGTCGCCAACTCGCCTATCCGCTTAATCGGTGCATAAGTAGTATGCATATTTTGGGCATTGTCTAAAGTGTTGACGCCTCTGTCTTACTTTTGATTTTGCATTAGGTTTCGTGCATGCAAGCTGCTTGGATCTCTTCGAACCAACTGTGCTGTGGACAGAGGGTTACTATTTCTTAAAGGGACATCACTTGGCTGCAGAATTCCTCTACTTTTCCAATTAAGCAGTCTGAACAAACTTAATTGAGGAAACGAGTATTGCATTTTGTCCAATACGTGGAGATGATGCGGAGGTCTTTCGATGCAGACCTATTATTTTAAGAGGGGTTTGTTACACTTGCGTCCTACTTCCTGTGTGACGAAGACATTTTTTGACATCAGAATGTGCTATCTGTCTTTCATGGCTTCATTTAATGAATGAGTAGCATGAAATACTCAGCTTAACTTTCGTTTGCTTCGCCTTCTCAAACAAAATGCTGGTTTTCTTCCACAGTGCCACTTTATGTCTTAGTAGATTCCTCATTTTCTGTCGGATTTCCATGCTTTGATCACTGCCTTTAAAAACGGCAGTTTGTAAAATAATTGATAAAGGTCAATAATGAGCAAAAAGTGGTTTGCATTTGGGTGAGTTAGGCAGACTTATAGAGTTTATTGCAAATGGCCGTTGTTTGAGAAGAATTGGTTGTTGAAGGCCTTTATCAAAGCCAGTGCTGCCTCAGCTGCAATGAACTTGCCCTACTTTAAGCAAAGATTGCTTTGCCATGAAGTACTTATTCAACCAAGTAATGAATATTTCATTTATGTTGCTTTAGTTGGACATATAAGCACAATTAGAATCGACTGCATTGTTTTAATGCCTTGCATAAAAATTTTGACAATAAAATGTCAAGGAATGACTGCAACCTTTGAAGCCAATATGTTTCTTTCTTAGACATTCAGCATTCCTTTTGGTCATGGCTATCCCGACGACCGAAAGCAACGGCTCCTTAACACTTTCTGGGTGTTTGTTCGGGAACCTTCTTTACAAAACTTTATTCGGATAGATCCGATAAGCATTCAACTACTCCTGGGTCGTGCAGGCTGTGTGAGGGAAAGCAAACCTTTACCTCCAAAGTTTTACTATGCCTGAATGTAGATGGTTTAATTGACAATTAAAGTTGTCTGAAAAGTATAAACTAGTGATGTATAATAAAATTGGAAGATTACTCTTATTATTATAAGTTCATGTAGTTTTGCCTGATATTCATAGGCTTAGCCGTTACAAATACACACCTAGGAAATTGTCAATGGTTAAATAATGCATTTGGGTGCCAAGTAATGTACAGCAACATGCCTGTTCCATAACTTTGACGAGATAAAGCGTTGTTTAGAACTTCTGCGTTCTATTGGGTTAATAAGTTATATCTTAATTAATTTTCCAATTTTTGTACTATAAACTCCATCTATTCCATGTTCATCATCAAACTAATTAATTATATTCAATGATTAGCATGCATGTTTAATAATGTTCATGATGTTGGTAATGTCAATGTGATTCGAAGTGGAGTTCGAATCCAAGAGGTAATCAATCACTCCCACAAATCCTGATATCTGCTCGCAGACGTGACATTTAGACGAGCCGACCGAACACCTACCTGCCCACTTGCCTGCCTGCATTCATGATAAATGCCCCTTAGCCCCTCTTGCGAATGGCGTTCACTTGTCTGCCGGCCTACCTGCCTGCCACTCTTTGCGCATTGCTTTTGAATGTTAATGACTAGGTAGAGAAGGAGGGAGGGAGAGCGAATGAGTGAGGAAGCGCGAAGTAAGAAAAATTACTGACACAATCATAGGTGCACCTTGTAACTTCACCCGTTCTTTAATTTTTAGTGGCATTCTTGAGACCAACACAAATTGACCAAAATATGAGGTAATTCTCTTATCGAAAAAATCCACTAATTAGGCTGCTTTTTACTCTTTTTGGCTTAAGGTTCCCTAAGAAAAATCGACAAACTGACATGGGCCCATTATTGTCACAATTCAAATGATCTGATTGTTAAAAAACTTGCTAATTTGGAGCATACTAAGTAAAATAAGTTGCAATGCATTTGAAGGGTATACAAACTTCTTACTGATTTGATCACAAGTGCCAATTAGTAACTGCAGAGGGTTTGGCCCTCAAGATTATAAAGAAATCGTATATTCCGCTATTTTCCGATGCTAAATTAGGAACAGTATTTTGTGACTAGGCTTTTTTCTAAAATACCACCTGGTTTATAGGCGGTAGCTTAAAAAATATACATAACCAGGCTTCACGTAATAATAAACCTAGTAAAACTCAATAGTTTTGTATTTTTTGCATTTTGAAAGGCTTTTATGCTCATTTTTACCTCTCTTCTCAATAGATATTTTACAAAGTCAAATTTTGCAGTTCGGAAAGCGCATGCACATACCTTTAACCACAAATACCTCCAAAATCATCTAAATGCGTTTGTTGTTCTTCAAAGGTGCTATAAGATCTTCTAACAATAGCATTTTTTGCAAAGTGGATATAAGTATAACCACTGTTTTAAACAAATGATTGAAGATTAAAGAAAGACAAATATATGGGAATCTTGTGAATATTGAGCCCTCTGGAAAATAAACAAAATATTTTAGCAGCTCAAGCGCTTCCTACTTCTTATTTCCCAATTAAATACTTTACTGACCAGTAATACGGAAAATCTTTTAACTGAGTTGATAATAAACAAAGAAGTAAGGCTTTCTGTTGACGTAAAACTTCAGAAGATGCGACCAATTTTTAACAAACGAGGAGAAATTTAACATAATTCAACGATTATGATTATCACGTTGAGCATCTAATAATCCCGCAATTGGTAAATTTGAGGCTATTTCGTAATGAGTAAATAGAGTTTCTTTTCTTACCATAAATTATGGTTTAATAAATAATCCGTTTTAAGGAGCCGGGTCTATCTGTTAAGAAGTCAATGTATCGACGTATATTTGACGCTTAAATAAATATGCTAGATCAAACTTGTGAATTGCGTACCCTCCAAACGAATAAATCCGTGTAAGATCTAGCTTTATTCGTAGTTGTTTTTAAGAATAATGAAAGCATAGTTGTTATAAAGGCAAAAAAATACGGATATAAATCATGCATTTCTTACTGAGGTGAACAGTAAGAAATGGCGAGCAAATTAGGTGGTAATTAAGGGCTAAAATCGTGGGTAAAGAGGGGGATAAAATCCTGACAGGTTAACCAACTGACAATAACGGAGAAGTGTATGTGTGTATGTATACATGTGTGTACATGAACACATATTTGCCAGTATTTACAGCGACATTTAGGGATTGCGTAAATGCTAGAAAATGTCAAAAAGCCGAAATATTCACCCCTCTTCTTCCCTTTAAGACAGAACGACTTAAAGGAGGGAGAGAAAGTGGAAGAGGAGCATGCAGAAGTAGCACCAACAGCAGCAGAACGAAAAAATCGGACATGTTAACTGCCTTATGCAGACAGCATAGGACTTGGCTAAGTTGTCAGAGCACCGACATCATAACTTAACTTTTCACGCCTCCTCAAAGCCTCGAAGCTAAAAGCCATGTTGGTGTGGTGGTGGCGGCAGAAGAAGCTGAAAATAAACGTATTCCGTCAGTTGGAAACAAGAATTTCCTCATTTAGGATTTTCTTTCCGCGTTTAAAAGGGTATTTCTGCTTCTGCTTCTCAAACTTGATTTTTCGCACACGACTCCACCTCCTCCTCTTCCTTTGTCTTCTTGCTTTATGTAAGGATATTGATTCTCATTCTACAATTTTTTCTTCTTCATTATTGTAGTAGGCTTTCTATCTACCATTTCGGGACAAACAGAAATTGGCATCAGTGGCGTCTCCTTTGCGCTTTCATTAATCATAAATGAGGTGAGTAGCTGTTACTTGATTTGCCTGTATCACTTGAGCAGTAGTTTTTTATAATTAACAGACACTATTAGATGGCCGTAGTGAGCTCTGTCTCATTATGATTGGCATTTGAGTACACTATTATCATAGAATTACTTTAAGAGGTGATTCCTTTCACAAATGAATTTGCTTTATTTAGCTAAATGAATATATAAGACTGTTCTCCCTTGGATCTCTTTCCTACTTGATGGCATGAGTCTCTCTTAGCGTTGTACTACATTAATAGCAACAGACGATGCATAGGTTCCATCGGATAATTAGCCAAACGTAAGAATAGAGCACATCTCCAATTCAGAACACCAAATTGGGTCACTTCATTTGCACAGCTCCGAATCCACCACTCACGGATGTATTTGTGCGTACAAATGGAAAGTGTCTGCTATACGCCACAACTCATGTCAGTTTGGCCAGACGTTTGATCTATCGCAACCAGTTTTGTGCGAATGCGTATTTATGTGGGTGTCTGCTTCCTGTCGCATATGACAATGACGGTGTGGTTGTTTGACGTGTGTTTGTATGTGCTGTGCACAAACCAGACATCGTATATCATTGCGGTCCCGCGCTTGTACATACATACATCCACGTTTACTCGATATGCAGGAGGAAAGTAAATGTTGGATTGATCAACCATTCTCTCCTCTCCCTTACTTGTCCAAGAGCCAACACTAGCTACTGATTAAAAGACCTGAAATATTTGTTTGAACAGCAAATAAATGTAGCCGTGATTATTTGAGGGTTTATTAAGCTCGCCTCAGCTCACTGCACCACTTACTGACCAATAAAATGGCTAGTTAAAAAATAAACAATTACCTTTGCCACCGCATCGCAAGATTGCTGTGAAAAATGGGCCCTCTTTCAATTTAAAAAGGGAAAAGTCTAACCTTTACATATAATGTGCATAGATGCATACCATTTTGAAGGAGGGTTAGTCTTTTGACAGTGAGACAAGCCCAATAGTTCCCACAGGAGACGACATGTAATTCCCTACGAATGGTTTTGTCATTAAGGCACGGGAGCATACCACACAGTGGTTAGGAAGGATTTAGGTCCAAATAAATCAGAAGCTTATGTGGTGGCATTTGGGTGGGAAAATAGGGCCTCTGGGATGAATGAACGTGAAGGGGTCGTGCACTTTGCTGACGTGCAAGCGACGCTACCGTAGACGTAAAATTGGTGGCGCCATTAGTAGAAAGGGTAGTACACAGAAATCAAAACATATCAGGTTTCGTAGCCGACTCAAATAAATTTTTGTGAAAAAGTAACACCGCTAATATGATGAGGTTAGGTCAGGTTACGTTAAGACTATTCATTTGCAGGCAAAATATGTTTTCCTAATCACGTAATTTTAAAAATTAACTCCAAGAACCCACAATTTTTACAGAAAAGGATTTTCCTTTAAGGTAACATTCTGTAGTTATTGGATCCTTATAAGAATTTGTTCTGCTTAATTTATAAGATTGTCTGACTTAATTCAATTTAGACATCAAAATGAGCTTTGATTCACCTTTTTTGTTTAAATCAGGTATCTTTTTAATGGGAAAAAGTGAAAGACTGCAACTTTTACAGAAATTTTCTGCCCGTTTTTTTGTCATTTTTAGGGCAAAATTAGTCGTACACGCATAATGGCATCTTGCTTGGTCATCTATTGCCACCTCTCTACCTTGGGTGACCTTGGAAATCTGGTTGAGGTTAGGTCAAAGAATCACAAAATTATTTCAAGGTAGTGTTGCCTCATCAACGTTTCTAAATCACAAAACCACTACTTATTTGAGGAGTTGAGGGTTCTTATTTGAGTGCATGGAATCTGACTATTGGGGAGATTGCCATTTTGATGCATCTGCCAAAACCACATCAGGTAAGCAGGAACAAAGACAGGTCTGTATCTTGCCCAGGTTTTGAAAATGTGAGCAGGCGGTTGATGGGTTGGGTAAAGAGGTAGATCGATTAATTACATCGTCGTTCGAGCTGGTGACAATGATGACCGACAGTGGTGGTGGCGATGGCGATGGCAGATGAAAAAGGGCCACGGCGACGGCACTTTGAAGTTGTGTCGGTGTCTGGAAAACGCGACGTAATCAATCACTTTGATATGCGCGCATTGGCTCGTTCCCTCGCTCGCACGCATTCCAAAACTGCTAGTATGCGCATACGCTTGTGCTGATTTGTGTCTTGCGACCTGGGCGCCATGACAGATTATCCGCCTAGACAACCTATTTTCATCTGCTTCCTTGTGTCATGTCTACACAACACTCAAATTGTCTGAAGTAATTTTAGCACATGGGACACTTACCAGGTGTGGCTTTAACTTCCGTATCAGCATGACTTAACGCACATTCAAGGCCTTTAAGTAAACCCGTGACGCAAATTTTGTTATTATTGTCTCTAGTCTTTTAAGTTTATGTTCTTCTTTTAAGAAACTATTAACGCCAAATTATTATAACTAACTCTTCATTTGTTATAACAAATCAATCACCTTACTGGATTTTGCGATCAAATTTCTGTTTAACATAGACATCTTAGAAATGGATGCTTTACACGAAACTAATATCATTTCAGTCGGAAATAAAAGAGTTGAGATATGCGGAAGTTTGGCAATACTTTTAAAAGTAGTATAATATACCATTCATGCTGGCCTAATGTCGTCACATTAAACCACCTCATTATAATTGCATATTTCATTTACAATAAGAGCCATAAGTTTTTACAACGCAACGTGCATCAATTATAAAGTTTTAAAACGATCCTAAATCTAAGTAATTAACACCCGTATAAAAAATAAAGTATAGCTCATTTTCTCAGTAGCGTGTTACAGCTAAGCTCACTGTATGGGTTACTTGATTCGTTACGATATAATAAGCAGTGCCGAATTTTATTCACACTAATGCTCGTCCCAGAAATGTCTTGACTATGGCTTTATTATACAAAACCCATGCATTTTATTATCGAATATAAATTTGGTATATAACGTCAGTAAATAACATTTATATCCAGGTGTATATCATTAGTATCTTGTACAGATGGTTTAAACAATTTCATTAGCCAATGGGACACTAGAGCTAAAAACATATTACCTACTTTTGATTAGCCGTAATAAACCAATTATTTTATCAGATTCATATCCCAACAATAAGCTGTTTTCATCAGAGTTTGCAAATTGTGCGCTTCTGGAAGAATTTTTTTAATGCGATGTTTGTAACAATGGAATTACCTAAATGATATAAGACTGCAAAGGTAACAAAATATGTGAACACTTTACTACCATGTAGTTAATTTAATCATTAAAATGTTTTTTTTGCGTTTGGCACGGGAGAGTTAGTTTTTGACAAGTCTACCGGATGTAGACACTGCAGAAAAACAAGCCGGACGGGGCGGGAGAGAGAGAAATGGAGGGGTGCAGTGGGTCTATATAGGTAGCGCAAATCAACCTAACAACTAGCCGACTTGATCTCTAGCACTTTGATCTTACTTCCACACCCTCTGCTTATTGCCTCTGCCAGCCTGCTGTCTACCCTCTCTCCTCCCCTCTTCCATCTGCCCCACCACTTGGGGTCTGAATGATAAATCAACCGCCAATGAGAGCTCAGATTTGTCGGTCCTACTCCTAATCCTTTCTATTTTCCCTCAAGGTTACCCACCAGTCGATAAATCGCATGAGAAAGGATGTGAATTTACTGGCCGTGGTGCAGTATGAGGCATAAATTAGCGCACCGCATGCACTCACACGCGCACATTGGGGCTAACCAATAGAATACTTAGGCGGCGGTCTGGATAGGTGGTGATTGGCTCGTGAAGAAGGGTAAATCTCGCACGTGGCTGGCTGACAGCCTACGGGTCGGGTGCGTGCGTGCATATGCGAATGCGTGCCTAGCTGATATTAGTAACGTGTGTAAATGCTATTTATGCTCTAAAAACGCCTAGTTTTCTTCACTTTTTATTCTTCGTACACTTTACAGGATTTGCTGATTAGAGCAGTAAAAAACCTCGTGTTCATTAGTTCCTTTTTTGACTCAATTGGAATGCGTTCATTACGGGGGCCGTCAGGGATATGGGCACAATTGACTGAAAATCCAACAGTTATCTGTGCGCTGTGTATGAACTGTTAGGGTTGGTTTGGTTTTAAAAAATGATCGTTTTCATTACTAAGTTTGCTTCGTCCTATTGAGTTCAATAGGTAATTATCACTTGGTGAGTTCTAATCCAATTCCTCTCATTTGAACGTGTTTTTAGCATTCGCGAATATTGCATAATTATTTGGCTTTATAGTCTTTACTAAAATTAGATGAATGACTAATTTGCTTTCGATTATACATTTATGTAACCACTTTTATTATTGAGAAACCATTCGCATTTGGTGTTAAATATAGGGGTGATGGTAAGCAGCTTCAGCCGCATTAAAATGCATAAAAATCCACTCAATTGCAACGTAATTTGCTTTAGCGAGACAGTAGAGGCTCTGACGCAGCATCTGCCGCCAGCGTGGCTGTCTAATCAGGGAATGACTTTCAATGAAAGCAGCAGAACTAGTCAAGGTGGCAGCGGTATTGTCTATCAAGGAAAACAACATAACTGCCCCGTCCCTCCCTTTTTTATGTGTGGGTGCGTGCGAAAGTTAGCGTTGCAGTTGTCACTTTACCGACATCAATTTTCCTACTCTCTTTTGCACGTGCCGTGCCTTGTCGGCATTCACTCTTCCGCCATCTCCTCTCCCTTCCTCATCTCATGTCTCCTTTGCGGTCTCTTCCTCCACCTCCGCCTCTTCCATGCCTTGGAAGGTTTGAAAGGATTAATAATGACCCAAACTTCAAATGTCAAAACCTCGAAAGTAATTTGACATACTAGAGAATCCACTGGACTTTGTAATAATCTAAAAATTGCAGCACTAATTGTCGCTCTGACAGGTTTTTTTTTCGGGACCGTTTTTGAGTTCTGAATAAAATTGAAAATGAATAGAAAAGAGTAATTGTTCCCCAAACGTAACTCTCCGGTTTTATTTCTAAGTTGGGCTTTGGAGATGAATTAAATGCTAGATCATGGCGATCAATCACATCAAATTGCGTACACAGTGAATAAGTTGAGTCTAAAACAAAGGGTAATTATGGTTTATCTCTTGTCTGAAGGTAATTGCACTTCATAAATTGGGCATTTCTGTGGTGCATTTATTAACATCACAGTTGGACATCAAAACACCTAGACTGCAGTTGTCGAGTTTCCTCGTAGATCCTCAATAAACACTTTTTATAACATCACTATAAACTACAAGTTATTTGGATTCCAAAACAGTGAAGTCAAGAAGTTTAATTCCTGAGTATAATTTTAATTTCAAATTTCATGTCGTCCATTTAAAATCCATTTTACCTACTTGAAAACTCCAATTCTAGCTTTTTATCCTCTTAAACTGAACAAAATATTGCTAACTAGCATTGACTTTTTGGTCTTACACAACATTACCGTGACGTGGTCAGTCTTTACTAAATTAGATGTATAGCCTTGGTCAGGATTTGTGCGTCTTGACCCTAACAATATCTCTAGACGTAAATCGCAAGCAGCAGTTAAAGTTTGAAGTATTTTTGGATAATTACTTTATTTTCAACTAGACTGGATTATTATTTTTGTTTTTTTTGTAATGTGTGTTTGTTTTAATGTACCTTTTAGGAAAAAGGGGGTCAGAAAATACGAGCCTTTTAACAGAGCACACGACCTTGGCTCGAAGGCAGTAATGTACAGCGAACACACGTAACCGTAGTACCTGTACCTTTTAATCATCACTTAAGGAAAGATGTCTTTATCTAACTCGTCTGCTCTATCCAAGAGTATGAAGCCTAAGGCTGAAGAGACACTGAGTACATTACAGATGCACATGAAAGCCCGTCGTGATTAGGTAGTTAAGCGTTTAAGTTTAAATGGCAAATTTTATATTCATTCACTTAATGGCAGAATAGGCTAGAACTTGCTCTGAACGACGCCATTGAAATATTGACTGGTGCATTAGAGTTGCAGTTTATAATCTGCGCACAGGTCAAAATGAATTTTTTCTTATAATTTTTCTAAAATAACAAATCTTAAGGAAGACGTTATTGGTGTTATCAATTAGCAAATTTACATCACTCATACCGCCACAGATTTTATGGCTCGGACAAACAGTAAATATCATCTTTTAGCCTAACATTTTGCTCTAAGTCATGCACTCTGAATTATACCTCTCGCATGACTTTATATAATCTTTGCCTTAAATAATTTACATCTTCCTTGAGCAAAATAAGGCAAATGCAAGCACAATATTAAACATCTCAGGATGTGAGATTGATAGATAGATAATCTTGTACAATGGATTAGTGAAATTAGCTAATATCACAAATGGCATTGTCAACCCATTTTTTACTTTTACAACTGCCAAACTTATTGAAAGTCAAAATAGTATTTACCCCCTATTTTGTACCATTTCATAAATGAAGCCTCTTGATTAGAGCAGCAAGGTAAAGATTACAAGTCATAAATAGACTATGAATGAATTGGAAAGTTATTTAAAATTACTGAGTCTAGAGTTCATTTAGGCCTAGGTGGTCTTAGCGTAACCTTAAACATGGCAAAAAAACCCGGCTGAAGTTCGGTCTGTATTCATTTCCCTGATACAATAAAGTTTTATCCAATGTAGCAACTTTTGAAGTTACCAGAAGCAATGAGCATACCTCTCGTTGTACTCTCAGGTTAGTACGAATTGCCTGTTTTCTAATTAAACCGAGTTCGTGATTGAATTCCCTCATTACAAATGTTTCCAGGTCGACCCTTGTTGACACGGTTTACGTGTCTCTCTACTGTGACAGGCATCGATTTACAATCTTAGATATTTGACTGAGGCCATGTCATTTACTCCTTATCTTTGACAGCTGGGTGATGATAGATACTGTTCGAAAGTCCAGATGTGCCGAGTGTCAGCACGAGACACTTATTACTCCCCTTAACGCTGTGGTTAAATCAAAATTAATTTGACAAAATGACGCATTAGTATAAATAATTGATAAGGGTCATTGTTTGATTTATATTTTAAAGCCAAACCACTCATGGTCTATTAGTCATTAAATAATCTAAATTGAGAATCAAAGGGTCAAATTACGAATTCATCTTATGCAAAACACATCGTGGTATTAATTCAGCTTAAATTGCACGTCACTTTACAGCAAATTTTAATGTTCCACTAATCTTTTAGTAGTCAGAGTTTTGGAAGAGATACTCAACAAACTCAGACCTGCATGTGATGTGGATCAAATAAGCCCATCTGGACGTCGTATTGCTTTAGACGTGGCAAATGCTAGTCAACACATGACACGTCTGGAGGTCAAATCGACCGGATGACTCATGGCTAGCGATTCTTCTCCCATATTTAGGAACAATAAATTTTGGCAACCTCTTAATGTAAGATGACCAGACTTTGGTAAATTTGGAAGAATTTTTTGTTTGTTGATTTTCGTGATTGTCTTTTGCTTTTAAATACTTCACCTTCATTAATTTCTGCACAGTACTCACGTTTTGTATCATGGTATACTTTCCATGACAGTAAAATAAAATTACTTAGTATATTGTCTATTAAACAAAGTTGCCAAGATGAATCACGAGGGTAAATTACCA